CTTCCTCCCCCTCTTCTCCCCTTTCTGTACCACTGCTCTCTACTATTCCTCTCCACGCCTGTTCTTCCTCTTACTGACATCCCCTTTAATCTCCTTCTTTCTCTTCCACCATATCTTCTGCTCCATCCTTCCACAATTCTACCTTTTTTTTTTAACTTCCTTATTACACTCTCTTTCTCTCTTTCTCGCTTCCTTCCCTCCCCCATCTTTCCTTCACGCCACACTGGTCTCCCTACAGGCTCCAGACAGGCCCTGAACGCTGCGCAGAGCAAGGCGACCTTCAGTGCATCATGGCAGGCTGACTGGGCAGCGCCTGTGACGGCAAACGAGACACAACATCATGCCACACTCGTGACCCAACATCACAACATCGACATACATATGTAGTGATGTGATATTACTGCTGTAGTGAGCGCCATTCATCATCTGCTCCTGGGTGTCAACATTCGTCATGATCTACTGAGCACATACTGTAGTCATAATTACATTATTTTCAACAAAGGCGGCAATATATTCATGATTATAGCTGTTCTTATATTGCTGTAACCATATTGTGGGTATTCATTGATGCAGTAAATTGCGATACACTTGTTTGTTTTTAAATGAACACTAAACACTCTGAAAATCTAGTTTTAGTGCCGTATAAGACTGTATTAAATGTTTAATTCTGACAACAATGTTCAGTGTATTTCACAAAAAAATCATGTCAAGTTTAAAAAGAGAGACGAAAGGTGTAGTTGATTCATTTATTAGTGGATCAGCAGAAAATCAGTCTATTTTGATCATCGATAGCCACAAAAGCCGCAAACATTTCATAGATAAAGTTTATGAAATGTAAGTATTTGCAGATTTTCTCTGCTTTATATCATTTTAAAGTGACTGTTGGTTGGACAAATCAAGAAATTATAAGATGTCACTGCATAAACTACAATTTATAGCCCAAATGATTCATTGAGAGAATAATCACTGATTGCAACTCTAGTTTAATGAGTTTACTGTAGCACACTCGTGTAACTTTATTCAAAGTTTGGTGCAGTTACTACAGCAATGAGTTAATCTTGTCTGTGCTCATTTAACCCTGCACAGTCACTGCATTACACACAGCCTTACATCACCCATTAGACGGTTCAGGGGAGGTCTTCTCACCTCAGACCCCCTCCCCCCTCTTGTGAAATGTTACAACACAAACAGTGTGGGGAACTTGTCTCATACATACATAAAGAAAACATTTCCTCTAACATGAGTCCTTTGTTTATGTACTTGTTTTTGCTACAGGAATACTGTGCAGAAAGAAAATGGCTCACAAACCAAAGAGAAAATTAGCAATGACAGTGTGTGTCCATTTAATTGTGACACTAAAGCGCTAATTTGGTCGGACAGTGTTATTAATCCATTAAATCGGCACCATGTGGGCTACTATTGGTCAAATCAGTCTGCATTTGCTGTTTCACCTGCCTCTGCGCCAGAGAAAGCCAGCACCTTGCAGAAATAACCACCGACTACCACCTTGTGTAAACCCGGTGAACCGGGACGAACAACGGTGTCAGCAGTGCTTACTTCAGACGGGGGGTTGCGGGGTTGTGTGTGTGTGTGTGTGTGTGTGTGTGTGTGTAGGGGGGGAGTACCGTCTCACCTGTCAGGCTGTCGTAGCACTCGATCTCGGTGATCTCCACGGCTCTCCGCTGCTCCTCGGTGAGCTTGGCCGCGGCTTGGTTGAGCAGGTTGACCTCGGAGCCCGTCGTCCCGTCCACCACATGCACCCCTTTGAGTTGCAGCAGCGCCCGGTGGTACTTGCCAATCGCTTCCCGAAATTTCTTCTCCTTGTAGCAGCGGTGACCCTCCACCTTGAAGTCGATGGCTTTCTGGATCTTCGACTCCATCTCCATTTCAGCGGAGCCGGCTCGGTACCCGCCGCCGTCGACTCC